ACTTGAACTGAACTTGAACTGAACCAAAACTTTGAGTTCAGGTTTAGTTTAAGTTCATAAATTTAAAGTTCAGTTCAGGTTCAGGTTTAAAGATCTGCAAAATTTAAGTTCAGTTCAGATTCAATTAAACTTGAACCTGAACCTAAATTGAACTAAACTGAACTTTGAAACACTATCCATGAGTATTGGTCTTAAAGATACAAATTCTTCGAAAATTTTTTGTAGTTTGTAAATTGTAATTTCAAAGATTTCAAGGGTTTTAAGAATTTCGTTAAATACCATGTCTGAGATATTATATTGGTTTTTAATTTGAAAAAGTCACAAACTCTTAAATAAAATTTCTAAAATAATGTTAATATACAATATGATAGTATATAATATTAAAAAATGGTTTTTAAAAATAAGCTTATCTAAGTTTATATTTTTATTAAGTTTGTTATTATTACACTTCTCGTCATAATCTTTGTTATATCCCTTGCAATTTCTATTATAATCTTCATTATATATCTCATAATTCACTTTGCTATATCTCTCACTATTATTATCTTCATTATATTCTTCATTAGTATTCTACTATATCTCTTATTATACTCTTCACTATCTTCCTCATTATCTTCTTCATTGTATTCATTATTATACCCTTTATTATCTTTATTATTATATTCATCATTATGCGTTTCATTATCTTCCTTATGGTCCTTTTCACTCTCTAATATTTTATCATTACTGCTAAATAGGTATTCAATTCCGGATTAATACAATTTGGATTTTTTTTACTTTGGCTAAATAAGGTTATTAACAGAGTAGCAGAAAGCATTAATGCAACTGTTGAAGAAATTTGAGAAAAAGAAGTAACTAAATTTTGTTGTTAATTTGGAATATATGCTGAATTAGGCCAAGTTTTTTTTGTTTTAATGAATATCTTGTTCGAGTTAATCTACTAACTAATTTGCCCTAATTATCTGACTCATATAGATACCAAATATATATACAAAGAACTTTGTTATCTATTCATATATAAAATAAATTCATTGCATTAAAAAAAAAGTAGAACAAAATCAATTTTTATATATATTTATTCTAGTTGCGATTACAAAAATTAATAGCTAATATCAATAATATTTTAAATAAGTATTTATTCAAATGATTATAGTTGTGATCACAAAAGAATCAATAGCTAATATCAATAGCTAATGATCTAATAACACCTAAAAATGATATATAAAATGATTACATACTTAAAAATAATATATAAATGATCTTAAATAAAATTTACTTTTTCTCTTGCATTTTCTAATCGCCCTTGCAATTATATCTTGCATTTCTAATTGCTCTTGCAATTATAAAAAATATTATTTGTGATTAAATTCTGTTCTAAGAATGCTACAAAACAACCTTTCAATTAATGTTTATACTCTTAATACTGAGCAGCGTTACCAGTTTTTCTTGAACTATTTGATCTAGATCCAACTCTATTTAACATGCTAAACCATAAGCAATATCATCAGCTATATTCTATACTAATTGCTATTAAATTTTTTCTTGCAGAATTATTTTTAAATACACATAGTGCTGTGCATAGTATAGCTAATGAACAGGTATTTTTTATTTTTTTATTTTTTTTTAATTTTTCTATTTTATTTTTTTTTTGTAAATTTTAATTTAGCATAAATTTGTGTATATATTTTTTAGTTTCTAAGAAGATCTAAGATGAACTCAATTAAGCTTAGTGAATACAAAAATTATAAAAAATCTTAAAAAAGAATTAATGAAGATATGCAATGGAATGAGTTCTTGAAACTTGACAAAAAACAATATTTGAATTTTAGAGTAAATTTTTTACTTGACAAAAAATAGTAGTTGAATTTTAGTTTGTTTTATTATTATTGCTTTTAATTATTTTTATTTTATTTTAATTATAGAATAATTTGTGAAACCATGCTGTTTCTTGATTTTTGTATGGTGTATCATTAACTCACCAACCAAAAGGAAAAACTGAAAAAGTTATAAAAGAAGTAAGATTAAAATTTCTTATATTTACTTTTTTTTTATAATTTGGCTATCTGCCACTATTTATTTATAACTAAAACTATTTGACAAATTACAAGAATTTTTCTTCTAGCTATAAGATCTCTGTACAAATGGCTTACTAAGCTTACACCTAATGTGGCCTGCTTTAGCAGTCATTGGCCTCAATTTGGGTCTGAAACTACCTAAAGACTTTTTTCTCTTCAATCCTTGGCTAGTGACTGCAAGCTATAAACATCAATATTGGCTTTTCTAATTAGTAGAGAAACACAAACACTAAATCAAAAGGAGTAAAAACAGAAGATAAACTCAACAATGAACCCAATTCACCTAAAACAAATAAAACTAAACAAATCAAAGAAATAAAAACAAAAAAAAAGAAAACAAAGATGGCATTATTAAGCCTGTGCCAGACTAAAAATATTGGGTAGATTGAATAAGAGTTAATTCAGTGATTATCACAATATCACATAATAATCATCTGGCCTAGATTAGGGTTAGTTTAGAATTATAGTAAGGGTATAGTTTAGGCCAATTTTTTAATTCTGGTAAACAAATAATATCATGATATGTTTATCATGTGATCATCAATCACTGAGTTAACTGTTCTTTAAGTGTTCCAAAATATTATATAGTACTATTTAATAAACTAATTTAACCTCTACATTAGTTATTTATATCTATATCTGGAATATATAGCTTAATCCAAATATCCGTTCTTGAGTAAAGATCCAAGTTCAAAATTTTCAATTACATAGCTCTGTAAAACTTTTGCAACATATTCATGTACTTTCTATTTTAGGATACGATTAT